GTTTTTTTTTTTTTTTAGCATATATATATATGCTAAATGTCCTGTATGCAATATGCCCTTTTTCGTTGGCTGCTTTTAAATTGTTATCACTTTTTATTTTTTATTTATTTATTTATTTTTATTTATTTATTTTTTAGAGAGGGAAGGGAGGGAGATAGAGAGAGAGAGAAACATCAATGTGCGGTTGCTGGGGGTCATGGCCTGCAAACCAGGCATGTACCCTGACTGGGAAGCAAACCTGCGACACTTTGGTTCGCAGCCTGTGCTCAATCCACTGAGCTACGCCAGCCAAGGCTTACTTTTTATTTTTTAAATATTTTACTATTTATTTACTTATTTATTCATTTATTTTAGAAAGAGGGGAAGGGAAGGAGAAAGAAAGGGAGAGAAACATCCATCGGTTGCCTCTCACACACCCCCATCTGGGGACCTGTCCCACAACCCAGGCATGTGCCCTGACTGGAAATCAAACCAGAGACCTTATGGTTCACAGGCCGGTGCTCAATCCACTAAGCCACACCAGCCAGGGCTTCTTATCACTTTTTAAAAGCAGTTTATGATATATCTTGGTATTATCTCTTTCCCTCCCCCTTTTTTTGGCTAGGTACAGTGTACTTCATTGATGGTACATGCTAAGCCCCTCCCCTTCTTCAGGAGGTCTGGGATGGAAATTGTGTCCAGGATGAGAGATTCTCAGTATATTTGGAGATTGAGATGGGGCAAGGGCTCCCCAGCAGCTAAGGGTCTCTCTTTTTCTCTTATGTTTCTGGTACAGCTGATGGTCCAGGGGACTCTTACTCTTTAGAGGCCATATAGAGGTCATAAGACCCATCACCCTGTTGCTATAGACAAATCCAGTCATACCAGGGAGTGGGCTTGACAAAGTAGTTGTTGAAGGCAATATAAATGCCAGCATTGAAGGTAGAGAATGGGGTCTCCGTTAAAGTCACAGGAGACAACCTAGTTTGTAGTGTAGCCCAGGATGCCACTTAGGGGTCCTCTGATGCCTCTTCTACCAGCTTCTGGTTGTCATCATATTTTGAATCTTTCTCCAAATGGTAGGTCAGATCCACAACTAAATACATTGGGAGGAAGGGACACAGAAGGCCATGCTAGCGAGTTCTCATTCTGCTCAGGGACCGCCTTGCCCTCAGTCTTGGCCGCGCCACTAGGAGCAGGGACGATGTTCTGGGCAACTGCTTGGCCATCATGCCACCGTCTCCCTGAGGGGCCACCCATGGTCTTCTGGGTGGCAGTGACGGTATGGATGTGGTCATGAGTCCATCCACTGCACCAGAGTTGTCATGGATGACCTAGGTCAGAGGGGCTAAGCAGTTGGTGGAGAGGAGGCATTGCTGGCAACCTTCATGGAGTTGTCCTACTTGCCATGATTCACACCTATCACAAATATGGGGGCATCCACAGAAGGGGCAGAGACGATGACCCTCTTGGCTCCCCGCTTCAAGTGAGCCTCAGCCTCCTCCACGGTGGTGGAGGCACCAGTGGATTCCACAGCATATTCAGCACCAGCATCCCCCCATTTGATGTTGGGGAATCTCACTCCTGGAAGATGGAGATGGACTTTCCATTGATGAAAGCTTCCTGTCCTCAGCCTTGACTGTGCCTTTGAACGTGCTGTGAGTAGAATCATACTCATGTAGACCATGAGTATGAGTGGCTGGAACATATAGACCATGTAGTTAAGGTCAATGAAGAGGTCATCGATGGCAACAACCCCCACTTGGCTAGTGAGCAGGTACTCGGTGTGGCCGAACCCGTTTACTCCGCCCTGCACCGTCGTGCCTCAGACGTGGCTGCGGCTGTCTTTTGAGCAGGGAGGACTAGAGAGCTTGGTACAGTTTCTTTATGTTTATTGTGCTTGGGGTTTATTAAGTGTCTGGCATCTGCGGACTTATAGTTTTCATCAAATTTGGAAATTTTTGTTATTTTTCTTCAAAGAACTTTTCCTGTCCTTTTGACTCCTGGGGAGATTCCAATTACATATATATATATTAGGTCACTTGAAGTTGTCTCACAGCTCACTGATGCCATATTATTATTATTTTTAAGCTTTTTTCCCTCTGTTTTATTTTGGATAATTTTTTTAAAAGACTTTATTTATTTTCAGAGAGGGGAAGGGAAGGAGAAAGAGGGAGAGAAACATCCATGTGTGGTTGCCTCTCATGCGCCCCTTACTGGGGACCTGGCCTGCAATCCAGGCATGTGCCCTGACTGGGAATCGAACTGGTGACCCATGGTTCTCAGGCTACCACTCAATCCACAGAGCCACACAAGCCAGGGCTCAGGAGTCACTGTTCTTCATTGTCTGGCATTCAGTATCTTGAGAACTATTGTGTTCATGCATTTTGTTGGGTATTTTGGTTGTCTTGGGTGGGAAAGTAAATCCATTCCCTGTTACTCCATCTTGGCTGGAAGCAGGAGTCCTCATGATCATTTGGTAGTTGGATCAGCTGGCATTTACTAAGGGAGAGCTTGCTGAGTGCCCACCTCACACTGGTCTTGGGCTTTCCAGTACTCCACGTGTTCCTATCTCAGGGCCTTTCGTGGGCCCTTTCCTCTGTCCGGAACGCTTGCTCCAGCTGCACTTCCCTCTCTCAGCCCCGAGGCCTTCTCTGATTCCCTGTGTAAAGTGAAGTGCTCTCTTCAATTTCCCATCACACTTAGCTTTCTTTTATGGCTTGTTTTACTAGAGCGTGGGCAGGAATTTTTGTCTGATTCCCTGGAGCCGGCTCAGGGCCAGGCACACGGTAGGTGTTCAATAAATATTTATGAGTAGTGAGGTCTTTGCATATTTCATGGTGCCCGTCACACAACAGCTCAGTCAAATTGGGGATGTTTGGCTGATGGGAACACAGCGCCCTGCCCTAAGGTTGCTAGCAGGGACTGGATTCAGGGCCCCTGGACCGAAGCCACAATCTCCTTAGTGATAACCAAAGGCCAAGCGAGCTGGCTGTGGAGGGCTGACAGGTGGGGTTGATGAGATCCAGACCCAAACCTGTGGGCCTGGGCAGAGCCTGATGGAACTGGACGCTGAGCAGGAGCCAGAGCCACGCTTCCATGACGTCGTCTGCAAGTGCTATGCCCCTCCCTGGGCCCTTGGTGGAGCTTCAGGCCTCGCCCATCCCTCTCAGAGCTGGCTGCCAGCAGGTTCCACAGCAAGACAGAGCCATTGTCCTGGTTCTCATCCCATATCTACTTGTGTGAGGACTCACAACTATTACTAGACTCGCAGAATTACAGGTTGACTCTATAAAGTGAAAAATACCTTGTAAACCAAAAACTTCTGCAAGTACTCAGTGAATGGGAAAGGCCTTAGGAAGCTTCTGTTCCAAACCCTTATTTTTGACTGAGGAAGAGACTGAGGTTTAAATGAGATAATGTATGTAGAGTGCTTAGCACCAGGCCTGGGACTTGATGTTTCCTCCTAGCTACTAACCTGCTGCCTTCCTCCGGCTAAGCAACCTGTGCCTTGGTGCCTCCCTGTTTCTCGACAGCCCTCCTCCCCACCCTCAGCCAGGAGCCTTGACCCATCTGTCTTTAGGAAGGCTTACAGCTAGCACATTCTGAGCATCGATGAGGTACCAGCCCACGAGCTAAGCATGCATCAGCTAGTTCTCTTGTTACAGGATGCAATAGGTGTTATTGTCTCCTCTTTACTGATGAGGAAACTGAGGCTCTGAGACATTAGGTATCCTGCCCAGGGCCCTACAGGGGTTGAGGCAGTGTTCAGGCCCCAGGGTGCACAGTCTCTAAGCTTCTAGGTCTGGCTTCTCTTCCCTTGGCAGTCTCTTCTAATCAAGTGCATTTTTTACCAGCTACCACTTCCTGGGCCTCTGGGGAAGCTTCCTGAGCGTGGATTTGGTTAGTCATCTGAAGTGGGCAACATAGGGTCTAGAACCTCCAGCTGGGAGTCTGCCCTGAGTGAGGCCCAACTATGAGCTTTTTGAAGTTAGAGCTAAGGATGTCTCTGAGGGTCAAAGATAATCGGAGTCAAAACCACAGCCCTGGGGGAAGGGACAGGGAGTGGGCTGGAGCCCGGAGACCCAGGCTTCCCCTCAGCAAGTACCTGGCTGGCTGGTTTTCTAGGAGACCCCTGCTATAGGTTCCCCACAGGGTGGTGGTGCAGACAGGTGAGAGCAGGTGGGCAAGTGGAATCTGGCCTTGTGGGGGCTCCACTGGGCAAGGTTACCTCTGATGGGCCCCAGAGGGTGGCCTCCTTAGGAGACAGCGGGACTTAAAACCAGCCTTGGAGGACCGCGACAACTTGAATGAGGGAGAGTGAGGGTGGGGTGGGTAGCCTTTCTAGCACAGAGACACCAGGAGTGCGGGGTAGGCTTTCCAGCTTCTCCCGTGCCCCTTTAGTGTGCCCCACTGCATGTCCACACCATGGTCCCCCAAGTGAGGGATGGTTAGTGTGCCCGGCAGGTAAGGACACTGGGCTCAGAGTCCAAGACTGCAGGCGGGATGTGCCGAATACCAGGTGATGAGGTGGATTATTCTGAGGGAGGCCATGGGAGGTTCCCAAGCCTCAGGTTACCTGAACAATGTGTGAGGCGGCTCATCAGAGAGGCAGAGAATGGAGGAGGCTAGCGACAGTGCAGAGGCTGTTGGAGCAATCTCTGTGAGCTATGAGGCAGGCCTGGGCCAGGGTCAGCCTGGAAACAAAGGCCCAGGGAAACAGGCTGGGCTGGTGGAGGTGCAGGAGATCTGATCTGGAAGGGTTCTCAAAGATCATCTACCCAACCCACTTGTTTTACACAAAAAGCCTGAGGCCCAAAATGGAAAAGGGGCTTGCCCAAGGGTGCTCAATGGGTTAATGGTAAAGCCAAGCTAGAAAGACCCTGGGAAGCTCAAGGATACCCCCATTAAACAAGGAGCTGAATCTACCCCATAATAGACCCTCCGCCTCGAGGGATCAAGTCCACACCTGAGGTTATCAGGGGTCCCAGTGAGACCCAGCCTGGCTTGTCTCATTGTAGGACCTCCGGCCTCCCGCCCCCTTCCCTGGACCACAGTTTTCTCATTGTGAAACGAGGCCTTTGGACCAGCCGACTGATGTGGCCCCTTTCTGCTGTAAGTGCCCACAGGAAGACGAGGCTGGGCCTTCCTCACTCTGTTCCCTACCCCCTAGTCCAGCCTGACACTGACGGGGCGGGAGGGCGGGGAGGGCTTTCGGCTCACATGCCTGAGGAGTGAGTGGTGCTGTCCAGAGGAGGCAACGTGATCTGTAAAGGAGCCGTGACCCTTTCCTTTTGACCCCCGAGAGGGCGCCTCGGTCATGTGAGGACCACGGGGGATTAGTGGGGCTGAGAGGGGAGGCAGCCACCTGGGGACAGACCAGGGAGAGGGGAGAGAAGCAAGCAGGAGAGGGAGGGCCTTGGGCCTCACAGGGAAGGACTGAGCTGGGCATCTGCGGGGGAAGGTGCCCCACCTGGGCCCTTTGGGGGGTGTGGGACAGGCTACCTACCAGCTGTAGGTTTCCGAGTGCATGAACCAAGGGCTGTTGGGGTGTGTTTGGAATGGAGGAGACGAGGAAGAAACGGTGTGATGGGCCTGAAGAAAAGATGAGGGAGGCAGAAGGGAAGGAGCCGGGCCCCACCGAGAGGGGCAACAGGCAGAGGAAGGGCTTGTGCAGGAGGCTCTGAATGATGCCTGGTCCCTGGTGAGAGTCACAGTCAGGTGTCACATACAACCTCAGGCTCAAGGAGACCTGGCAGAGAGGGGAGAAAGCATTAATTTAGAGCCAGCAGGTCTGGATTTCAGACTCTTCCACTCACTAACTGTGTGGCCTTGAGCAGGTGTCTTGGCCTCTCTGAGCCTTGGATTCTAGAACCAAAGAGCAGTTGCATCTCCTTCTTCACACTGGGCAGGCTGTGAGGTCAGATTTCAGTCCTACCCCAGACCCTCCCTCGCCCCTCACTGGCCACCGCTTCTTCCCCCAAGCATATACCCCCAGGCACCGGGACTAGCGTTACTCCCCATCCTCCACCCCCGCAGTTGCAGGGGCTGCCCCAGCCCCTCTAAAGAGGTTTGAACCAATCCAGGGCCTGTGCACTGAGGGGACCAAAATGGGGGGCTGGGAATGGGGAGGGCGAGGACTTCCCCAGCCTCACTGTGGAAGGAGGGGAGCCATGCCTCATTACCCCCGTATCTCCCTTCCCCCCTCCGATGTGATCCCTGGGGCTCTCCTCCCCTTTCCCTAAGCCCTGCTTGTCTTCTCCACAACAAGGAGAGAATGTTATTTAAAAAGAGATCAGGAGATTTGCCTTAAATAGGCATGGAGTGCTGTGCCAGGGCCCAGGGTGGGGGAGGGGCGGCCACCCTGAGTGGTGGAGGGGAAGGAGTGGGACCGAAGGAGGGAGCAGCCTCGCCAGGGCCAGGGCTGTGCACAGCCCTCCAGTCCACTGAGCACCGTCCCAGGACCCGCCTGCCGGCAGAGGGTCAAGCAGAGCTTGCTCCCACCCTACCCCCATTCTGAGGGTGAGGAAACTGAGGCCCAGGTCAGGGAACTGGCATGCGCTAGCTACCAAGTGGCATGTGATGCTGGATGCCACAGGCTTTCCACCCCAGGCCCCAGGCCCCAGGAGCAGGGAGGTGCTCAGAGGAGAGGAACCCAGAAGATAGGGCCCCCTGTAGCAGGGATGGGGGCTTCTGCAGGTCAGGGTGTCTTGGAGTTTCCTGCCACCTGCCCCCACCATCGGTCCCCAGGCCTTTGGCTCCTGCCCCCAGGTTGCCCCCGCCCTAGCTTGTAACTGGACGCCCTCCTTCCCAGGTGAGCTGGGGCTCTGCTTACCGAACCCAACACCGGCGGGGGAGGGGCCTGAGGGGCAGCCCTGGGGGAAGCATCTGCCCAGAGGCTGTGAGGCTGAGGAGGGAGCTGGAGCGCAGGGGGTAAGAGGCGGAGGAGGGGGAGGTGGGCCAGCCGGCAGAGACACCGCCCTCCCTTCCCGCAGGGCTTGTCTGACACCTGGGGTCACTCCTCTCTTCAGGGTCTCCTTCCCCGCAGGTTCTGTCTCAGCAGGTGATGCTATTGGAATCCTGAGAAATGAAGCCTTGAGAGCGGGATTTCTGGGACAAGGCCAGGCCAGGAGGCTCCCCAGGGGTGCTCCTTCTGCGAAGGCTCTGAGCACTGCGGGGAGGCCTCAGACACGCGGGTGCCCGTCCTGGCCTCAACGTGTAGAGCCTTGAGGCCCTGAGCTGCCCATTGTGCGCTTCGGACTCCTGCTCCGTGAGCTGGACCTGACAATGCCCCTCATACACACTCTGGTGAGAAGATGACAGAGGGAAGAAGAGGGGCAGTTATGACAAATGCACGGACCAGGGCTGAGACCTCGTGTTTGTTGGAAGATGGAGAGGGAAAAAACTTTTCTCCTCTTCTCCTAGTGGGTGGGCACAGCCTGTGTCTTTGGGAAGACTGTAAGAAAGCAATCACCTACTCTGGGTTCCGGTTAATTCTCTTTGTTATTCTCCAGGCCACTCAGGAGGCAGGGAAAGGGTAGGGGTGAGGAGGAGGGGTACAGGGCGGCCACTTGAGGTAAGAGTAACAAAGGCCAATAGGAGTTCACCAGGAGGGTTTACCTCGAGCCTGGCCCCACCCCAGTTCTTTACCAGTCCTCGCTCCAAGGATCGGCTGTTAGCCCCATTCCACTAACGATGGAACTAGGGCTGGGGATTTAGGCAGCATGTCCAAGGTCACCCGGGAAGGAGTGATGCTAGTATCTGACTTCAGGGCCCTCTGCTGACTTTGCAAAAATCCCAGGATCCTGGGACTTGGGTAGCATAGCCTTGGCCAAGTCACGTAACCTCTCAAGAGGTTAGTTTGCTCTCCCCAAACGGAGGATAATGCCCCACTGCCTTCTCAGGGTGACTGTGGAAAACGAGAGGGCCGATGGACACAAACCATGAGGTACTCAGCAGGTACCAGGTGCAAACGCTTCAACAAAGGGGTCTCCACGTCCTTATTCTTACTGGGCTCCCAGTTCCTGAGGAGTCCCTGTGTCCCAACCAGACAGACTGAGAGACAAAGGACCTGCAGGTCTCTGGAAAAGGACTGACTGGCCACTTGGCGCCACCTAGTGGCCCATGGTGTGTGGCGCTTGGGGAGAGGGCCTGGCCGCTCTGAGATTGGGGGTTTGGGCGTGACCATTGACCCCGTGGGGGTGGGCAAAATATGCCAGGACCTCAGAAAGGAGGAAGTCCTGCCCAGCCACGCCCTTGCCTGGCCACCGTCCAGAGGGTAGGGTGAAGGTGGGCACTCCGCCCGCCCCTCTCCCTGCGGACAACCCCAGAAAGCCCGAGGGGTTGCCCCGGGGTTTTGGTTCCAGCCCTGCCACTGCCTAGCTCCCCGGAAAAACTGGAGGAACACCCCTGCCTCTGGGGACCTGGCTCTGTGGTGTGTGCTTTCATTTGTCAAACATCTTATGGAGTGTCTTCTTTCTAAAATCATCGTGCTGAGTGCTGTGGGGACACAAATACGGCTAGGCCAAGTTTCTTGCTACAAGGGACCCACCTTATTCTAAGGGGAGACAGATTTGCAAATTGATCATTACCCTCAAGGCAGACCACAGCGGGCACTGAGGAGGGGGTTGTGAGGCAAGGGAGAGCTATGGGGGCCTGCGGGAAGTGGGACCCAGTGCTGAGCCCTCAGGGGTCGGCCTCCCTCCCCCAGGCCCATCTCCCGCTTTAAAGTCTGTAATAAAGAGGGCCCTCGAACTCCAGCGTCCACACCTCTGTGCGTGTGTACTACGCAGTTCCCTTTTCCTTTTCCTGAATGGCTTCCTCCAACTTGTCCTCCTGACAAACTCACCTCCAGCCTTCCTTCTGGAGATGGGGGGAGAGAGTAGGAAATCCCTACACTACGACTGGGCAACTAGGGAGAAAACAGAAGTCAAGGGGTCCCCCAGGCAGTGGGACACCCCATTGCCCGGGCAGCATACTCAGGCAGGCTCACGGTCCCCCCAGGCTGTCCACACTCGCATTCCTTTATGTATGTGTTCTCTGCCCTTGGCCTGCTCCATCCCCTGTGCTGGGCCAGGCACAAAGGCTGAGACAGGTGGGGGCGGGGGGGGGGGCGGTGCTGACTCACCCCTATTCTCAGGAGCATTGTGGTACGACCCCTCCACAGCCAAGGACTGCACAGTGGATGTGCTCAGTGGCTGGACCTGGCCATTCTGCCTAGGAAGGGGCAGGGCCAGGTCCTGGGACACAAAGGAGGTGACGTTTCAGGCAAGTCATGAAGGATTCATGTGGCCATTTCAGGTTTGCTAGAATCATGCAGCCAAGTCAGGGAGGTGTGAGCGGGGAAGGCATCTGCCTGGAGCCCCTTTCCTCTCCCCCCCAGCAGGGACTCTGTCATCTGATGTTATCTGATTCTTCAGCACTGGTCACAGTGTGAGGCTATCTTGTTTGTGTGTTTAGAACTGGTCTCCCGCCCTTGGCCACAGGGTCCCGAGGCAGGGCCCCATCACTCTGGTTTACCTGGGGGTCTCCAGTGTCCAGTCCAGCACCTGGCTTATTAGAGGCACCGGATAAAGGTTTGCGGAAGGAATGAATGAATAAGACAAAGTCTGCTTTATCTCAGCATGACAAGATAACTGGGGACGTTTCCTCCTTTGTTCTGCCCACACTTACCCATTCACCCCTGCCCCCGAAACCTCAGGGGTCACCAGGCCTTTCTGTTGCTTTGCCTCAAGGGAAGCTGTCTGAGGACCTATTCTTCTGGCTTTTGCTTCCTGGGTCCAATTCCTTGAGGGGGTTATGTTGAGGGGAAGAAGAGTCAGAAAGAGGAGGCTCCCCAAAACTGAGAAGGGGAAAATGATTACAGGGTCCCCGGAGAGGACCACAGGGAGGTGGCTCAGAAAGCCAAGCCGCCCCCCTACCCCACTCTCAGCCTGGGCAGGGTTGTGGCCTGTGGACACTGGTCACTGGGGGTGTTAGCAGCCACCAGGAGGCCCTGGCTCCCAGTTCCACTCTTGCCAGTGGTTCTAGCCTCCCCTGCTCTTACAAGGCTCCCTCCCTGCCTGTAAGACCCCGGGGGTGGGGAGCTCCCCAATACTGGCTGAGATGGGGTTTCCTGACACCCCCAGGGATACAGGCTAGAAGTCAGATTAAATTAGATGTCAAGAAAATAAAGAGCTGTGCGGTTGCTTGGATACCACCTGCCAAGACAACCCGCTGTGCCGACCTGCCCCGGCAGGCAGGTGTGTCTGCAGCTTCCCTGCTCAGAGAACGAGTTTCCCTTTCTCCAGGGGCCTTCTGGAGAGTCTCTTCACAATGAGAAGGGATTGCTAAGGGCAGGACTTTCTGATGGCCAGGCAGTCCTGTGAGGAAGACATCTTGAAGGAGGGCAGGTCCACACGAGACCAGGGAAAGTGGACATCGGTGCCTGGGTGAGGGGACAGGCTGGGCAGGGCAGGCGCCTTGGCAGTGTGTGTTGAGGGTGGAAGCACAGAGGAGAATGCCAGGAGAGGCCCTCAGGCGTGCTCAACAGTTCAGCTCCAGGGGACGATGTAAGTCATCTGCCCGCAGAGCCCTGGTACCCCTTGCACCTTCATTGCACACTCAGCCTCTTGCCGGTGGCTGCAGGACCTGCGTGGGAGACCGAGCCCACCCAGTTGCATACTTGCCTTTAGGTCTGGACTGGGCCATGTGAGAGGAGGCAGAAGAGGACAGGACTCCTTCCCCTGGTGGCTGTGCTTGGTGTCCAGGGGTGGCCACAAAGGTCCTCCTGGCCAGTGGCTCCCAGCTCCACTCTTGCCAGTTGTTCTAGCCTCCCCAGTTACCACTTATTTCCAAGCCTTGGTTTTCTGGGCTTCATACCACTTCTCTGAGCTAACCTTCTGTTCCATTACCTTCCTTGCCTGCTTAAGTTATCCTGAGTCAGTTTCTCCTGTTTCCATCCAAGAACCCCAAAGGATGCAGGGCTGCTAGAAAACACGAGACAATGCCATCTGTGCTAAACTGGATGTCCCCAAACTGTGTGTCAAGTGGAAGGAGTGAAACATGCAAGGTACGATGGGATCGTAAGCTTCCTGAGGGCAGGGTGACGGTGTGACCTGTTAACAGCTGGACCTAGTAGGAGGGGAGCGTCTGCTATTGGGGGCAGAGAAAAGGGTTGATGCTACGGAAAAGCAGTTGACTCCTCCAGGCCAAGAAGGGTGATAGCAAGAGGCAGACCGTCAGAGGTTGTCCAGGGGCCCTGCCGGCACGCCTCCGAGGCTCCAGATCTCGTCTGCCAAAGGAGCCGGTGTAGGAACTGGACGTCTCAGTGATAACCATTGGCAATCACAACTGTTAGTGACAGCTACTTACTGAGATCCTGCCACGTGACAGGCCTGTCTTCCAACGACCCTCTGTGAAAGGAAGTTACAACCTACACTCACAGGTGAGGAGACCCTCTCAGAGAGGTGGAGTAACATCACACAGCTGGCAAGTGGCAAAACCAGGATGGAAAGCCAGGTGTATCTTCTGAGTTTTAACCATCAGTGAAATTCTTCACAGGCTTAGCTCTGCCTCCTCCACGAGGCCCACAGTGAAGCCATGAGGTCCTGCAGCCCCCCTGAACCACCACAGCACTGAGCCCCCACATCGAAGGCCTGCACCATTCAACCAGACACTCTCTGAGCGCCTACTCTGCGCATCGGGGCCCCCGCTGGCTTTTGGGAGACGAGGATAAATGCCTCCACACATTCACATTTCCTGTTCCCCAGCCATCAGCATGGTTTCATTATTCTCAATCCCTCCCATCATTAGAGATTCTATTATATTACCAGTCATCACTTTATGGAGCTGCCAACCCATGCTTCCTCCGTAACTGGGTTTACACCTTTCGCTCATGAGCAGGAAAACTTAACAGTTTCCAGCGGTCTGTGAAGGCCCCCGAGCAACTTCCGTCAGCTTTGTGATCGACTGAAGCTAGTTTGTTTGTGATCCCTCCCCCATCAAAATGTCCAAACTAGGTTTTCAGAAAGGCCCAAAGTGAGAAAGTTTTAGCCGCTTCAGATGCTGCAACGGGCCCATTTCTCACCGTGCAGGTTCTCCAGTTTGTCTTTACCTGACTGCTGGGTGACAGCGACTTACCTGGTCATTTCACGGTGAGTCATCCACCTCAGGTCACTCGGCTTTCCAAATACTGGTAGCCAGGGACATTAAGGAAACCTCACAGAAGGGTCCGGGAGCTCAGCCACCAGGGCGTTAACATCTGGGTGCACAGGCAGGGCTGGAGGCAGGGCCACAGGCTTAGCCTCTGGGGGCAGGGGACCAGGGACTAGGAACAGTCAGTGCCCCGGGGAGGGGGACCTTCTTAAAGGGAGCAGAAGACTCAACTCACAGTCCTTACACAGTTCACATGTTTATTAGCCCAAAATAAATACAATCTGAGAACATGCGCTTCAATCCCTACACACTGTTTCTTCCCCCTAAAAGCAGCTTAAACACGGGCTCACAGTTTGCTGTGCATGTTCTCATGTTGCCAGGCTCAGGAGGCATCTGTCCTGGCTGTGCTAGGCTGGGCCTGGCTGGGAAATCACCTCAGGTTCCCTTCCCGATTTGGGGCCTGTTCTCCCCCGGAGTCCCACAGGACCAACGCAACCTATTCCTGCCCCTGGAGCGCCTCTCCCGTCTGCAACCTGAAGGGGGCAGCATTCATGCCCACGGGCCTGCAGCCAGCCCTCACAGACAGCTCTGTGCTCTAACACCAGGCACCACCAGAGGCCCACTCTCAACGAGCACAGAAAAGGTTACTCCTGACCCTGGAAGCAGCTCACCCAGGGCAAGGGGAGAAACTGAGGCACAGAGGGCAAATGGGTGCGAAGCACTATGCCCAGACCCCTGCAGGAGGCTGAGAGGCCCCAGTGAAGGGAGAAAGGGGCACAGCCTCCCTCTGCTGTGCCCTGACTGGCCAGGGAGCAGGAGGAGGGGGAGACCATCCTTTGTCTTCTCTCTGCGGCTCAAAGATTTGGGTCCACATTCTCCTGGTCCGAGGCTGCCTCATCGTCACTGGGGGACTCCTAGATTGAAGCCAGAGAGCCCAAGTCACGGACTCCTACTGTCCCTCAGGGCCACAACCTGGGGGGCCAGCATCTCCTTCCTCCTGCCCTTGTCCCCAGCAGAGCCAGAGAAGGCTCCATCTTGGCCTTTCCTACTCAGGGTCTCTTGGCCTTTCCTCTGTTCTAGCACCGAGGTGGCCCACAGCTATGTGGCCCACCACTGGGTAACTCCCTCTTACCAGTCCAAGGTCACTGCTCCGCCTCAGGGTGGCATAGAAGCGCAGGACACGGGGGTCACAGCGAACCACCGTGGGGTCAAAGTCCAGAACACGCAGGCCCTGCAGGCTGCGGGCTCGGGAAAGGGCCACGTAGGCCTGGCCACTGGCAAACACACGGCTCAGAGAGATCTCCACGCAATCCAGGGACATGCCCTGCGGGATGGAGAGACAGCAGTGGAGCCAGCTCTGCCTGAAGTCTTTTGTGTCCAAGAGCCTGACCTTATGTCACCAGCCCAGCTATTGCCCCTGGATGTCCTCGCCCAGCCCAGAGATTCTCAAGGTGACCCTGGTGACCCTGGCTGGGCATCTGAGTAGGAGGGGCTCCAGGAGACAGAGCCAGGATGACAGAGCGGGATGGGGGCGAAAGGAAGAGCTCAGGCTTGGGTCAGACAGCCATGGAAAGGAATCCTGGCTCTGCCTCTCACTAGCTGTGTGGCCTTGGACAAGCTACTTAACCTCTCTGAGCTTTGGCTTCCTCCTCTGTACCAACAGGAGTGATTATTTCATCTATACCTCATACAGTTGTTAAAGTATTAAATTTGACATGTCTGGTAGTGGCTCAGAAAATGGCAGGGCAGGAGATGACAGAGGGGAAAGGAAGAGAGGTGGGATGAGAAATTCACTAAAGAAAGGTTTAGCCCTGGCTGGTGTGGCTCAGCGGGTTGAGCACTGGCCTATGAACTGAGAAGTTACTGGCTCGATTCCCATTCAGAGCACCTGCTTGGGTTACGGGCCAGGTCTCTGGTTGGGGGTATGCTAGAGGCAGCCAATTAATGTTTTTCTCTCACATCTATGTTTCTCTCCCTCTCTCCCTTCCCCTCTCTCTAAAAATAAATAAAGCCTAAAAAAAGATTTATTCTACAACTGGTCTGGAACTTTCCATCCAGGGCAAGTTCAACTCCCCCTCCATAAAGCCTTTAAGGCCCCCTTTAACATGCCCCAGACCTATTTTGTACCCCCTCGGCCCCGCCATGCCCCCATCCCCCACACTGGCTGCTCACCTGGCTCTTGTGGATGGATATCGCCCAGGCCAGTTGGAGGGGCAGCTGCTGCCGGCTGAGGAGCTGGCCCCCAGTGGCCTGCACTGTCCAGCGGTCAGCACGGATGACCTCCGTGACTCCACACAGAAACCGCACCTGGGGCAGCCCTGAGGGAGGCATGGAGAAGTCCAACTTTTCAGCCCCATTTCAGGGCTCAGAGGTGAGGCGCAGGCCTCACCTTTCCATCCTCACACTTACCTGGGGGGCCTGCTGCCCCACACAGTAGGACTGCGCCCCCATCACTCACCTCTCCCCTCCGTCTCGAACCCGACTACCACCCCTCGGGCGCCATTCACCAGGCCTCGGGACACCGCTAAGTTCTTCACCAGCATCACCTGCAGGGGAGAGGGAACGGGGGGCTCAGAGAGCTGCCCCATGCCCATGCCTGGCCTCAGGGGCAGCGGTTGCTGCTGCGGTTCTGAGAGGCTGGGCCCGCCATGGAGGGACACTGAGTCCTAATCCTTAGCTAACTGTGCCCCCTGCAGCAAGATGCTTTATTTCCCCAGGTCTCAGTTTCCCCTCGTGTCAAGGGGAAAGGCTTTGCTCAGGAGCGGGTAAAGAGCAATAAGGCAACAGACGTCAGGGCTTTGAAAACTTCCACATCTCTCGTGAGGTGTGTGTGTGGGCCACAGTCTTGAGGAACAGCCCCCAGATCCTGCCATTCCTCTTCCAACCACATGGTGCCTGCCTTTCCCCCTTAGGTTGCCCTTCAGAGCCCGAGGAAAGGCTCCCCTCTGGCCCAGCCCCAACATGGTAGAAGGAAGGCTCGTACATTGTAGGGTATAGTACAGAGGACAACTGTGTGGGGTAGATATTTCTCTCCCCGGTTTAGAGACAAGAAAACCAAGCACCAGCAAGGGCAAGGGACTTATCCAAAGCAACACTGCTTGGAGCTCCAGGCAGTGAAACAGGAGGGGAGTGGAAAGCTGAAGACAGGAAGGTGGGTGGGAAGAGGAGGAAGGGAGTTGGCTGAGGTCGCAGCTGGGCGCTCTGGCTGTGGAGCAGCCTGGGCAGAGGGGCAAAGGTGGGGGAGGCCCAAGCTCCCAGGGTCTAGGCCCTGCTTTCCACTCACCTGGGCCCCCAGCTTCAGCTGAAGGAGCTTGCTAACGGGACACTGGACATCCAGGGTCCGTGCTTGCTCAGGGTCACTGTCCATAGCCTCAAAGCTGTGTACCTTACCTGGGAAAAGAGATTACTAGTCACTAATGGCTTAGTTTCCAAAAACATATCAGACCAGGGCAGGGGGGGAGGTAGCTTAGGCCTAGCTGGGGCTTTAGAATCAGAGACCTGGATTTAAGACTCATTTCCAGCATTTACTGGCTGCGTGATCTTGACCCTTTCAAGATCACACCACTCAAAATCAGTTACCTCTGCAAATGTAAGGGCCTCATGGCCACAAAGGTTGGGGCCTAGATATCCACATGACCCCAAAGGTCCAGGCTGCCTGGGAGGGGCATTACCTGCCTGAGAGCCCCTCCCAGTTGGTCTTGCCCAGCCTTGGCTCACTGCTCACCTGGCAGTTCCTGCAGCCGCCTCTCATTGGTAAGGGCCACATCATCCTGGTGGGTACAGAGCCTCGTGGCCACAATCCCATCTCGCCCCACCTGGTGGGTGGCTGTAGCCTTCAGCTGGCGGGTCACCTCCTCTGAGCACCTGTGGGGGCTGGACTGTTAGGGCAGAGCCCACCTGAACACCAGGGAAGGTGGGGCACGAGGGTGGTATGGCCCAAGCAGCCGTCCACGGGTCAGGCCTGGGGACGGGAAAGGGTCACCAGTGCAAGACTGGCTGGCCCCAGGCTGCCCAGTTTGTCTGTTTCCCACTTGGGCCCTGTACATGGGGACCGAGCATGGGATATATGGGGTGCTTGGCTGTGGTCTTGTGTGGGTACCCTTTTCTGTGCCTGCCCCCAGGAAGGGGCTAGACACCTTCCTGTCCCCAGTGCTCCCCACGACACGTGACATGCTGAGTGCGCACAGTCTGGAGGCTCAGAGGACCTAGACCAGGCACTGATGTTGATACCTGTAATGCTGGTAGCCTAGTCAGATCAGCCTCTAGAGGACAATTTTCTAGCCCCCAGCCTGCTGCCTTAGGGGAAAAAAATTAAACCCGTGTTTCTATTTCCTCCCATCTTCAGCCTTCCTCCACCCAGGGAAGCCTGGGTGCAGCAGCAACTCCTGTGGGAGGATGGGGGCCACCTTGGGCCCATCTCTCCTGCTTCGCTACTCGGCCTTCCTCTTGCCCCCGTGCGTGCTGGTGCCAGCTGTGCACCTCCCTCCCTGCCTCCTGTCCCCAGGCATAGAGAGCAGCTCACTGCCACCTTCCTTCCTCAGGACCGTCCCAGTCTGACCTGGCTTTCAAGGCTCAGCCCTCCTGGCCTGTCCACTCCCATGTTAGAGTGGTCATAGCATTTCAACCTTTTGTCCCAGCTGGGCTGGGATCAACCTCCCCTCTCCCACCAAGTGACCCCACAGGCTTTAAGAGTGGAAGGAGCCTGGGTTTTAGACTCAGACCTAGGTCTAAATCCCAGCTCAGTCACTTCTAGCTGTGACATGGGGCAAGTCTCTTCACCTCATTGAACCCCAGTTTCTGCATCTGTGAAATAAGAGTACTGACATCTCTGAGCTCCTCTTGTGTGTCCATCTGCCTGTAGTTCCCTGACGCCTACTCTGTGCCAGGCCCTGTGTGGGTAGTGGGGACCCAGCCCTGGGGGAGGCAGGGTCTCGGTGTTCACAGAGTGACCGTCTCCTACAGGCCCAGGAAGCATTTCTTCCCCTTCTCTGGGCCCACATGCTCCTCTGTGACACACACTTGGATGCTCATCTGTGACCCCTTCTCTGTTCACAGAGCCCACCTGCCCAGCCTCACAGCCTGCAGCAGAGAGATGAAGGTCTGGTCTGCCTGCCTCCACACCTTGGTCAGCTCCAGGGTCACTGGGACACACCTCCTCCAGCTCTTGGCCTGGTGGGGGTAGGTGGGGGTGTCAAGGAGCAGAGCAGACCTCTGGGGGGGAGGCAGGACAGGAGGGTGAGTGGTAGGCACCTGGAAGCAGAACTGCGGGGGCTGGGAGCCCTTGGTTACAGGTGGCAGCTGTAGGAAGTCCCCACAGATGATGAGCTGGATCCCTCCGAATGGCTTATTCTGCTGCCGGACAGCTCTGGAGAGAAGCAAGCCATGCTTTAGGGGTGAGGGTGGGCAGGTTCCTCATGGGAAACCAGAAGGCCCCAGCCCTCACTGCACATACTGACCTGGCCACGGCCTCTAGCTTGTCAAATAAGTCCGCCTCCACCATGGA